GCGTAACCAAAGGTAAGTAACCTTTCGAAAGAGGTGCGTTAGATTAGGCTGAGGGCTTGGTAAGGCTTCGGGTTACTGTGTCCGGAAAGGTTTGGTCACGTGAGCAAGAGGTACAAGAATTTATAATTTATGGTTTGGGGAGTGTATTAGCGAAGAAATGTAACTACCCCAACAACACCACCAAAAATTTTCGGTTACACAATATTTGTACTACATTTCGACCAATAAACTTTTACTATTTCGATTATATTATTATTACGATTTGCGATTCAAGATCACCGGACAAAATTTTGTTTAACAAATCTAATTTTCAGAAGAACGACCTTTTTAACTTACTCTGGACCCATAGTTTAGAAAATGATGTTATCTACGTATTTAATTACGGGTCAAAGGCAAGTTTTAAAGGACGTTTTCTTAAAAAATTGCTTCCGAATTCACTCTTGATATTATTAAACCCATTCTTCAATGACAAACTCATCCTTCAATACCTGAATGTCTCAACAAGAAGTGATAGTACTTCTTTTTACGGCTTAGTATGGTTGTTTTATTTTTTTTTATTTGTTTTTTTTACCTCTTACATGTACTAGAAAAGCTCTTTTATTGATTGTAACGCGTTTTATTTGTTACTTTTTCAACATTAATTAGAGTAAAACTTCCATGTAAGAATTTTATTTGAAAAGGGGCCCAAAAAATCAAATTGGCCGATATGATTTCGATATAAAATGTTGCAACTAGAAGTAACTTGACGTTACTGTAATAGTAAATTATTGTTGAAATTCAAAGAATAAATCCAAAATCTCGAATAATTAACAGTTTAATTGTATCAAGTCGAAAGGTGTTAAAATTTTTTATCTAATTGGTCAAAAAAAAAAAGAATTATCTGGATATGAACACACCATTTGTTCCCTTAAATTTATTATAAGTTCAACATATAAAACTTATAAATACTATACAATAAATTTTTTACTAAGAATCGACGTTTAATATATTTTGAAAGTTTGATTTCAATGCTCAGTTGATATTTAATTATATGCTAGTAATTAGGCGCACAAACTTATATGTTCAGTGAAATGGCTACATATAAAAACTAACTATTTAATTAATCACATTTTATATGAATATGACAATAAAAAATGATTACTTATATGTTTTTAAAAAAACAACCTAATGTTTTTTTTTTTTTTTTTTACATTATGAATTAGCGCATTTTTTTGCTAAATGAATTCCCTGTTTTAAAGTTTTTGACTATTTGTTTTTGACCGTTTGTTCCCAAAGTTTATTCAAAAAACCATAGCTTCTAGTTGATATTTAAATTATATAATTAGTATCCTACCAAGGATTCAATATATTGCATATAGTATATTTATATACTGATATATTACTTTTGACTTGAGTTCTCTCTGGTATCTTATAAAAAAATATTACTAGTATTCACAATCTTATAATTGTTATAGATTAGAACTTGCTTCAATAAAATAAAATAATTATTAAATACTTACATTTTATTAATTTAAGAACATTGTATGTTGATTATGATCTTTTCAAGTACGTGGATTAGTTATTCTTCTATTATATGAATGAATATCTGTCACTAAATTTTTTACACCTTTAAAACTTTCTTGAACAGATTGCGCCCATTGAATGTTATTAGCATTTTCTTGTTCTTGAACAATTTTAAGAGCATCTAGAAGTACAGATTTATATTCTTCAAATATTTGCATTGATCCATTATCGTTACTTTCATTATCATTATCAAGTAATATAATATCAATATCATCTATATATATTAAAATAAATTAAAGTACCAGTATTATTAAATTGAATTTAATAACAATAAAAATATATAAAAAATTACAGGTTTTAACTTGAAAAGTACTTGATTTTTACCTGAATTAGAATGCATTAATTATGTAGTAGTTGATTGTTGTTGTATAAATTTATGTTGCAATGATAAAAATATAAAAGAATAGGTTTCTTGTCATTGAATACTTTTAAAAAAAGAGTTATTAATTGTAAATTGAGAAGCTTGAATTAGGTGCTTACAAAGAAAAAATCAATTGGTTAAATATTCTAAACATCTACAAATCCATTTTTCAACATCAATTATGTAATTATGATTAATTTTTTTTCTTTTAATATAGTTCATTCTTTTTTAAAGTCTTTTCGCCAAGAAGGTATTTCATGATTACAACAATATTTATTATATTGTTGTCTATGATGTGGAATTAAACGAGTAACTATAATATATGTTAATAAATCAAAGCATGGCCTAAAAAATTTAGGTAAGAAGTCCTATTTTATTACTTTCTAATGTGATTCGTATAACATTGTTGTATAAAATATGCAAATCTTGTCATATACAGAACGTGCTCACAAATTCTAGATTTCTTTACGATACCAGTGTTCCCATAAATAACTCCAAAGAAGTTTTAATTTATGCCTATCACAGAATTCATAAATTTCTTTTGTGGATTGTTCCCAAATTTCGTGAGCTGACAAATAGAATCCATTCATATTTGGAATTAAAGAATGTAAATGCATATAACTTTCAATTAAATTTATAACCTTAGGACGTAATTCCTTAGGACAAAAGCAAAAATTTTTTTTTTCTGCTGAAGTTAATTTCTCTGGTAGTATTGGATAAAATTCTATATTGATAAACTCAAATACTTGATGCGCTAAATTAGAGCTATAATTAATTGTCTTTGGATATATATTATTAGCAAACTGTTTTTCAAGTGTTTTCTTAATATGCCAAAAACAAAATTGAATTTTGATATTTAACCAAACTCTCTTTGCAGCTATCACCTGAGTAAAATCTTTATCTGTTAAGAAAAACCAGATATTATTTAACCCCAAATTAAATAGTAATTCAAAAAATAAGGTTAAAATATCTGTATGTATACCATCATTTTTTTTAGACTCCTCTATAAACAAATATGCAAGTGCAAATCCAGTGCCATCATATTGACCAATAATTGCATATAACTTATACCCTAATGCATTCATTTTATATGTTGCATCTACAATTATTTCATGATTATTTTTTAATATATTAAAAATAGTGTGACAAAGCCCAAATATTTAATATTTTGATCATTGATTAAAACAATACTACATTCATTTTCCTCTATAAATATTTTTGTAGAAATTAGTTGATTATCATTGTTATGGATATACTCTTGTTTTAAAAAATAAGTCCACCATGCGTGAACTTGTTTTTGAGTTAGATTTGGATTTGAGATTCTAACTGTCTAAAAATATCTGTGGGCATTTGATGAAGATTCTTTTTTATTTCATTTTTAATATCATCAGATGTATTGAATCTATCTGGATGCTTATGAAGTAAATTATGCTGAAGATCAATTGTTGCTGTGTTCATTTCCATATCAAGTAATATTTTTAAAATGCTATTACATGCAAATCATTCTATATGATCTCTATCATATTGTTTATTTAAGCTTTTATGTTTTTGTAGATGTTTAGTCAAAGTACAACTTTGGGAGCAGGTATACCAAAATGAATATTTATTCTGATCTTTTTCAGATCTATAAACTTTATGATAGCTAAGTATAATAATATTATTATCATTATTATTATTAATTAATAAATAGTTTTATTAATATCAAATTTGAATACTTAGCTATCTAATAGTATTAGCAATATCGTGATCATTATTTAACTAAATTAGATAATAAAAAATTTTTTTTATTGAATTTAGCTAGATAATTATCATAATATCGCTACTGCTAGAATAGCTTAAAATATATATTTTAGTTATAATACTTACATGTAATAATACTCATCAGCAGATCCTACTATTTTAGCAATTGCTTTTCCAAGTTCATGAGGTTCACTTTTTAATGAAATAGTAAATATCTTGTATATAAGTTCTATACCAGAGTTTTCATTTTCAATATGTTCATTATTTCTAACTTCAATAATAGACTCAAATAATTTTTTTTTCATTTCCTTTGGCTCAATAAAGTTCTGATTATAAGGTTCATTATTATTAAACTTCACGGCATAATTTCTTAAAGTTTTTTCACGATATTCATTACATATTTTTGTAGGTTTTCTAGTTTTACTAATAAAAGCAGTTGTATCAAAACTTTTAGTACATCGACTACACTGACACAAGCTATTAGAAATCATTTTAATTTTGTTGAATATTAAAGTAACACTTTTATAATAAATATTAGTGATTAGTTAAGTGATTTAAATGTAATATGTAACACAAAATTTAAATATGAAACATATACATAATAACGATACGTAATGATAAATACATCATAAAATTAACATGGGTTAACCTGGTTAACGTTAAATAGAGTATCAATTGACCAATCAATTGAACAATATGTTGGGAAGACAATTTCGATTTACTTTTTTTGCGTAGTGACATAAAAAGTTTAAATTTTGAAAATTGTTAAGAATAGAGTAAGTGGCTATACTGATACTGATACTCCTTGTTATGTAAAAAAAAATTGCATTCCTAAAACTTTTAATTACTGGTAGTGTCTTTACTATATATTATTTTTTTTTGAATTTTCCTAAAATCATGATTGAACATGTAAAATTCTATTGGTCGAAATATAGTACAAATATTGTGTAACTAAAAATTTTTGGTGGTATTGTTGGAGTAGTTAAGAAATGTTATTAGATCACGTGGATAAGAGGTTAAATGAACAACTTATTATAAGTTAAATTTATTGAAGGACTTAGGGTAGTTATTATATTAATGTGAGCGATTTATTTAATAAAATTTGGAACTTTATTATTTTTAATGAAGCAAAGACAAGACTTTTTTATCTCAAAGGCCATTTCAGCCTTTATTTATATGATATTTTTCTTAAAGATATATATTATATTTATTAAACATATCCCCTATATTCCATATATTTCGCATAAGTCGCATTCGTTATATGTGTCACTTGCGTCACATGTGACTTATGTAATGGATACGACATATGCGACTTGTCCCACCATTTGTGTTCCAGAAGGAACGTGACCAGTTAATCACATTACTTATCACGATTTTCCTTTCATAATTCTCACGCCAAACGTGATAGACCGCAGTTTATCTGAATCCATTGTTGAACCTCACAATAGTCTTGAAAAGAAGTATTTATCTTTTAATAAATTTCCTTTAAAATTGTTTTAAATAGTTTTATTGAATCGTTAAATTCTTTCTATCTTGTCCTCATGATAATTTCTCGTTGAATTTTGTCCCGAATTGTTTTCTCGTTGTTATCAAATCTTTTTTTGTTAGAGTAAAAGTACTCAAATTTTTATATCATAACTTGCTTTTATAGTTCTCTAAATTGATAAAATAATTGATACAATATCGTAATTGTTAAATCGATCCACCAATAACTTTAAATCCCTGTAACACCCAAATAGTAACCAAATCAGGACTTCCGATAAACGTGACCAAGACAACCCATAGACCTAACATCAATAATCTAATATCTACCCAAGTAAATCCTCGCAGCTAGGGTTATCTCTTAGTTGGATTTTTGAATTATCTCAGTTCATTTATCTAGATTAGTTGAACCCGAACCTTGTATAACCAAACCTCCGAATGAGTTCTAGCCTGGAACCAATCTTCACTTTTTCAACGTATTGAATCTTGTTATGTTAAGGTATATGTCGATCATTTGAGAATATTAATTATTTTGTTCTAACTGAATGTATATGTATATCTCATGCTGAATTTCTAGTGGTAAAGCTAGTATGTGCTATGCTGAATTCGAGTAATTCAAAAAACTGAATATTGTTAATAAATCAAATATATTCTACTAATTATTGTGAACTTTGCCAAGTAAATATTCGAAAATGTGTAAATCTTTGAATTGTTTTTTATTTATATTGATATTTAAATTTTGATTCTGGGATGGAGCAATAAAAAAAAAAAAACTATTAAATTTGACAATTGATAGATTATGTAATTAAAATGGTAATGCATATAAAATGATTAATAAAATTACTAAATTGGAAGTTTTTTTGTAATAAAATTTGTACAATTTTGTCACGTAAAAGAAATTTAAAAAAATAAGCATAAATGGTAATTTAAAATAGTCCACGTAAATAGTGAGCATTATAAATTTATTTATCCGAACAAAGAAAACACATGATGATAATATCATACTATCCTTTAAATTATATAAAATTTATAATAGACAATATTAGTGATATGCCATTTATATGATACTTAGATTTTTTTAGCGTACAGTACGTACAGTACGTATAGTACGTATAGTACTTATATTAGGATTTCTTTTATACCATAGTTTCGGAATATTCCATAATCGGTTTGGAATATTTAGGAACTCGTAAATGTTATGGCCTAAACTTTAGAACTTATCTCAGATCTAAATATAGTATGAAATATTGTAAAAAGCTGATTTTACTCTCTGAAAATACTGTACTCTGATGTAATATGATGTTTTATTTTTAGCTTGTAAAATTCTTATTAAGCCTGTTTATAGTACAAACATATATAATTAGAAGCCTCACAGTAAACTAGTGTTAATCCTTACCTGTATTTAGTAAAATTAATATGTTGAAATGTTAAATTTATCTAATTTATTAAATTAAATCAATATTAACAAAAAGTAATTAAAATTACTATTTGAAAAAAATCCGATTTAATTAATATTTTAACAATATCAATTAAGCTTCAAATGTATTTACTATAATCTTGTAAGGTATATAAGTACTGTATTTTTCCTTCAATAAAAAACTCAGCTTATGAAAGAGTTCATAAAAATAATTTCAGATTTGAGAATAAACTCTCCTCATAGTAACTCCAATACCATATTTGTTAATCTACAATTATCTCTCCAAATATAAACAAACTAACCTTGACCTTAATAAACTCAGACCAAATTCTTCACACCTTCTTTCTGTCTTCTACTATCAGAGTTATTGTTGGTTTAGTTGTAGGTTGTAAATATTAGTTGGTAAGATTATTGTTTTGATCTACTCTCAGATCCTGAACTTCTATTTAGCCCTCAACATTTAGTAGTGACTATGAGACCTGATATGATCTCATCCAAGGCTTAACTCAAAAAATTTAAGATAGGAATTAACATAGAAATTTCTAATATTATTAATGAGCCAAAGGAACAATAAAAATATTGGCCTATTGCTAATATTTTAGAAGGTAGAAATAGACAAGAAAATGGAGTTCAAGCTACTGCAGTCAGAATGTTAAAGTACAACAAACTAAACAGAAGATAGAAGCAAAAATTAAACTACTATAGAACAACCAGGCAATACAGTAAAACATTCTATATATATAACCATCTAACTATCAGAGACTACTATACCTTAGGGAGGTTAGATTTCTACAGTGTATTCTATGCAATCCTGTTCTATAATTACAATTTAATAGCTAATACACTTAGTGATTTGTTAGTGCTGTGAGAACAGATTATTGAAGGAACTTAACAAAAAGTTATCTGACAGTAGCTTCTAAATGAATTTGAAATTAACTCTAGAATAGAAGAGAAAATCCAAAAATCTCATTACAGAAAATAGAAGGTACTAAAATCATAATAGATTAAGATTCTTAGACTGTAGAATTGTTTATCAATTTACTTTCTTAGCTTAATAGAAATTAAACTCAGATAACAAGATTTTAAACAGAAATAAAAAAAGAAATATTTATATTAGCTGCTAGATAAGCCTTGAGAAAAGTACTAGAGCAATGTCAAAGTGTAGACTATCTAAATTCAATATCCTACAAAGAAGAAAAAAACAAAAAATAAACCAATTATTTACCTGCAAGAGTCTATAATAAAGATTTATAAGATTTCTAGACTATAAGAAAAAACTAAAGAATTTGGAAAGGAATATTTACTTGAATAACCTTGATAAGTCTTAAGAATTTTATATATAGAATGCATAAATTAATGAAAAAAGAATTGTAAAGAGCTAATTTGACCCTCTAGAAATACTATACTCCAATATAGTATAATGTTCTATTTTTAGCTTATAGAATTCTTGTTAAGCCTATTAATAGTAGAAACATATATAATTAGAAGCCTCATAGTAGACTAGTATCAATTCTTACTCATATTTAGTAAAATTAATGTGTTAAAATATTAAATTTATCTAATTTATTGAATTAAATCAATATTAAACAAATAGTAATTAAAATTACTATTTGAAGAAAATCTAATTTAATTGATATTTCAACAATATCAATTAAATCTCAAATATATTTACTATTGTCTTGTAAGATATATAAATGCTGTATTTTTCCTTTAATAGAAAACTCAGCTTATAAAAGAGTTCAATAAAAATAATCTCAGATTTGAGAATAAACTCTCCCTATAGTAACCCTGATACTACATTCGTTAATTTACAATTACCTCTCCGAATATAAACAAACTAACCTTGACTTTAATAAACTCAGACCAAATCTTCCACACCCTCTTTCTGCTTTTTACTATCAGGGTTATTATTGGTTTAGTAGTAGGTTGTGAATATTAGTTGGTGAGATCATTGTGCTGACCTACTTTCAGACCCTGAACTTCTATTTAGCCCTCAACAATGTAGAAATTATTTTAGAAGATATATGAAGGTCAAAGGTTAGAATGCCACAGTATCTACATACAGTGTGAGAGGTAAAATGTGATTTAGCTGTAGATACATGAGTAAATGAGAAAATGTGATCTAGCTGTAGGCACATGAGAACATGAGTATGACTTGAACTAAGGTTCTGAACTGAAGCCTCTAAACTAAGGTCTCAAGCTGAAGCCTCACAAAGCAAGTCCTAAGCTGAAGCTAAGCCACAGGATCTCACATGTGAAAATAGTATTTGAATAAAATGCTACATTGGGTTTAGCTTAAGGCAAAACTCATTGAATAATAGCTTTATGTCATAGTCATATAAATAGATCATTGTAACTTGTAGATTCCCTCCCTCCCCTTCTGATACTCAGTTTAGTTAGGCTGTGTCAAAGCCTCTGCTGTATTTCTCTTGTATAAAAGTCCTGCTTGTAAAAAGACAGCGAAGTAGATAAGTTATCATTTAATAAAGACACACCCAAAACCAGGATCTTAATGGCAGTAAGATCCTTGGTTCTCAGACCAAATCTTCTACGCCTTCTTTTGAGTGTTGCCTTGTGTCTTTGTGTTTGTTA